TTCAAACATATACTTTGTGTGTGTGTGTTGCTTATAATATTTAGACACTCTTTGATGGTTTGCAGAAGGGACGAGGAGTGCTCTTTAGGAATGCTTTAATAAGCATTAGGAGTGCTCTTGACCTGGAAGCTTTGGCCCGCTTTTACGGTCACAGGCGCTCCTTACTGGAAGGATGAGCCATCGCTTTTGATGATGGTTTAATTAGATCCGTTGTTCTGGTAACCATCAAACTTGCTTTGATCTGCTCTCACATGATCCGGTCAGGGAAGAAAAGTATAAAGGAAGTGTGACAGGCAACTTAATCTTTGGAAGTCCGGTGTGGATCAGCACGCGCTGATGCCATATGCCATTTTGATGTGATTCTCCTTTACCTGGGTCGAAAACGACTTCCCGGCCAGTGTCACGGTGAGAAGTTATTTCATATCAATCTGTGTGTTAAGAGTGTACATGTTTTTTGCTTGGCTGTTCTCTGTGGCAGGATAATAAAGGACACTAATTTATCCTAGCAGTAACAGCTTCTGTCTTTCATTTTTTCCATTTGTCTGAATATGTGCCGACCGTTTCACGAGCCCTTTTGATAAAGAATTTCATAATACAATATTATTATTTGGATTTTTTTTTTTTTTTTTTTACTAAATGACTACAATATAAATAAATATAAATTGCATCTACATGTGTTCTTTCCTCACCTGTCCACAAGCAACAGTCAGAACCTGATTGAAGGGCATGATGGGAGTTCTGCGATGGAATTCCACCAGGTCCTGCAGACTCTGGTGACGCCTGTTCTCACCCACTATCATGTACTGGCCAGCCACCAGTGCATCGATCATGAAATGTCTGCAGCGTTCGTCTGCACTGAAGTGGCAATGCCAGAGAGAGAGAGTAAGCTCAGCAGGACTTTAACCCGCAGGACTGAGTGCGTGGATGAAACATAGCCCCTTCAATTCTGCAGAAATACTCACCGGTACGAGAGTGTGTAGCCGATTCTGCTCTCGCTGACTCTGATGAGGAAGTAGCCAGGTGGCTTGGACGTGAGCAATTCCTCTGCCGCCCTACACAAACCGCCCAGACAAAAGCCCCTTTTCAACACACACACCTCAAAATGCAAACTTTGTTTTTGTACGGCATCTCTTTGAAGTTTTCTGTACAAACCAGTTAACATTTATAGGGTAAAACATTCTCACGCACTTTATTTAATTTATTTAAACTTTATTTATACAGGTAGTCTCATTGAGTCACAAGGACTCGTTTTCAAGAGAGACCTGTTTTGGGAGCAGATGGTGGGTAATGAGGGTCTTGCTCAAGGGCCCAGAGTGAGGCAAATGAGTGAGTGAGTGAGGCAAATAAATCTGTACAAGGAAACTGATCGTTCAAGTCAGAAAATCTGTCAGCAGGAATTAAATAAATGAGCAATATCATTTAAAAACTGTCTATTATCCATTCGTCTCCAAGTAAACATGATACCGTTTTAGGCTTCACGAGAGATAAATGTGCATTTAATATTTAATAGATTCACAGAAAATGTTTCTGGTTGCAGCTCTGTCTTACAGCCATTATCATAAATTAGTCTCTGCTCTGTTTCCAACAGATTCACTCTGGAAAAACAGACAAAAACTGTTTGTCTTGCTTTGTAGCTGTCTCCAGGGTGAGACTGTTATGTACTAAACTAGATGCAAACCACATGCACGTTTTATTATCACGTCTCGAATAAAGTTTTCTTTCTTGGTAACAAAACGCTGCCATCACATTCTTCAAATACTGTGTCATTCATAATGCAAAGCAAACATGTCGGTCAGCTGCAGCTTCATATTACAAGCTTTCCACTTCATTTACATATTCCATGATTGCTCCGCATGCACAGTTAGCATTGTTTAACTTCAGATTATATTGAGTTTAATATTTTTCAAGTCAAAAATAGTTAAGATTGATGTGCTTATTTAAACAGTTCCTTAAATCAGAGTTTTAAAAAATTATTTATGTATTATTTTTGAAAATGAGGCATTTAAAGGTTTGTCTTTTTCTTTTTTAATTGAAGCAAATTAAAATTATTACTCATTAATAATTTCTGCTTTCTGATATTATATCGCTGCTATGTGTTTTCTTTTAATCGGACATGAAATGTTCCCAACACATAAAATTACAGATGTCAGCACTGGATTAGCAGTTTTTAAACTTGGAGCAGATCAGCAGAACAAAAACTTCATGCTGTGACACTAACGTGCATATCTTTTTAAACTCGGCTTTTTATATTCTGCAATCTGCTACTGAAGTAGTGATAGACCCAAACCTACTTCCTGGAACTGATTCCATGAAACCAATCTGGGACTGATCCGTTCCTGAACACCGACTGGAGCTGCGACTCTTTGAACCAGGTGAAAGGATCATGTTGTTCTTGAGAAGACTGACTCCACTCCATCATCCTGCAAGAAGAAGAAGAAGAAGTGAGAGAGAAGATCCTGTTGGAAAAGACCTCCAAATGGCTTTTGAACAGCTCAGTGACAGATGCTTGTATATTCAGTTCATTCTGTGCACCTAGTAAAAAATCACAAGCTCAATAAATATCCCTTTTTTGGTAGTTCACATTGTTCCTCTTTCAGGGGAAGCCCTTTCGTATGGCGTACAGTGATCCGTGTTACTCTGTCCTCGTTTTCATAAGAGCTCATAGTTAATTATTTGCATTTTAAAACCAAATAAAAAATGCATTTCTCCAAAAAAATAAGAAAGGATCTATATTATGCTCAATAGAATCCTCTTCCTTTGCTGCTTTAGGCTAAAAAATGTACTTTCATCTGGTTTGTAATGAAATCATTGCAGGTAAATATTAATAAAAGTGTGGATTTTGTAAACTAAAGTGAAAAATTCAGCATCCAATGTCAAAATCTCAACACATTTGATGGAAACAGTTACTCACCTGGTGTGCAGCTTTGCGGTGAAATGGCACTGCAGGGCTCAGTCACCTGACAACACCTGTGCAGGGGCGGAGTCAAACTCCACCACTCAGCAGCAATTTATGCTGTGAAACAATAACACAAAAAAAATCTAAATATGTCTGTTCTGTAGTCAAATAGAGAAATAAATCCTCTCTAAATGTGATGTACATTCATATTCTATGGGAAAAGTCATGGCTGCATGACTATACAGTATATATATATATATATAAGCCTAGACTAGCACCGCACCACTAAGCAGCTATTAATGTTGGGA